ACTGTCCCTGACCTGCCTGTCTCCTGGTCCCCAGGGCAGGGGATGGGGGTGATGCCAGGGCGGGCCGGGAGTGCGGGGCAGGAGGAGGGTCCTGGAGGGGACGCTGCGGGCCGACAGCCCGTCCCTTGGCTGGGGCCGGGGATGGGGCCGCCCCGGCTGCACGGGGCCGAGGCGCCGACACCTTCTGAAGGGTACATGGGGCGAGAAGGCGGGACAGCGCTGGAGCCGCTCTGGGAGCCCCGGGACAGGAGCCTTCATCTCTCGGGGCGCTGCTCCTCCGCCTACGCTGCTGCCGCGTCCCTCGCCGCGCCCCCTTCTCCCGAGTCCCCGTTTCTCCCGGAGTCCCCCTTCTCCCGAGTCCCCCCTTCATCCCGCGGCCCCGGGGGGCCGGGGCGGGTCTTTGGGTCGGGCAGAGGCGGCCGGCGCGGCCCCGGCGAGGCGGGGCCGGCCAGGAGCGGCACGAGCGCGGCTCCGCGCGGCTCGGGGGCGGCTCCGCGGAGCCCTCGGCCGCGCGGCACGATGGCGGCGGCTGGGGCCGTGGCTGCTGGGCTGGGCCTTGGCTTGGGCCGCAGGTGAGAGCCGCGGCGGGGATGGGCAGAGAGCCCGGCGCTGGGAAGGAGGAAGCGGAGAGGAGAGGGGGAGCAGGGGGCAGGGTGGGACAAGGCCAAGAGGCTGCGGACAGGGCTGGGGAAGACGCAGGGACAGGGACTGAGGGATGGGGGCGGTGGCTGTGTCCGTGCCGGGGCTGAGGGCACCGGGCAGTGGGGGAACACGCTCGGTCCGTGGTCGCGCCCTGCCCGATTCCTGCGCTCTCCCCCGCAGGGCTGTGGGCACAGCTGAGGCTGGAGGAGGCCGGCGGAGGGCACCGAGCGCCCGGGGAGTCCGTGCTCCTCTCCTGCCGCGGGTCCGGATTCAACTTTGGGCTTTATGTCGTTTACTGGTACCGTCAGGCACCCGGAGGCATACCCGAGTGGGTGTCTTCCATCAGCACCGATTCCTCTGTCAATCGAAACCGGACAGCAATGGAGGGTCGAGCCTTGGTGTCCAGAGACAATTCCCAGTCCAAGTCATCCCTGTCCTTGTGGGCCCTGCAGCCCCAGGACTCTGCTCGATATTTCTGTGCTGTTCCCACGAGGACAGGAAACCCAGCTGAGCTTTAACATAAACCTGCTGGGGGCTGGCACAGAGTCCATGGCATTTTAAGATGGAGAATTTTGAGGTGGTTCAGGGCTGTTCCCAAGGAATCAGGGGCCATCACTGTTCTCTGAAGGCAGTTTTGGCCTTTCTTCCAGAGCTTCTTTCCCCAGAATGATAAATGGCATATTCTGAGTCCCAAATACAATGTTTTATTCCATAGAAGTGGTTCAAAGTGCTTCTGTCGCCCAACCAGCCTGGTCATTCTGCCTGGCTCCAGCCCCTCTCTGCCTTCCTTTGATCCCCTTCTTCTGTGGGGCACCCAAAGCACCTGGGCTTTAACAACACCTTTGCCTGCTTTCTTTGACCCTTTTGGGCCATCTCCTGGCACCAGAAAAAGCGAAGTAGTGATGGAATAGGCCCGCTTTTGTTTCAGATGCATTTTGGGGTGATGAGATCCAACCAACAAGGTCTGCAGTTTGGTGGCCAGCAGGGAATACTGGGACCTTACGATGCACTTACAGCTCCAATGCCTCCTACATTTACGTGGTCTGGTATCAGCAGCATCCTGGTGGACCCCTGCAGTACTTGCTGCAGTGCCAGGGCCGTGGAGGCTCCTACAGCCACACAACCCCTTTTGCCCACAGGAGGTTTTCCTGCCAGGCTGACAAGAGCTCTGGGACACTGAACATCACCGGGCTGGAGCAGGGGGACAGTGCATTCTATTACTGCAGCCTGGAGGCACCACAGCGAGAGGCACCCGGGGGGTGCCTCAACAACATCAGCTTCCTCCCCTGCTGCCTCCCCTCCTGCATGTTCAGGTGGGACACAGGCCCTGCAAGGGGGGAGTCAGTGAGTGGGTTGTGCCTGCAGTTAGAGAAATGGGGTCTCATTGTGTCTGGGTGCTCCCAGTGGAGAGGAGGGGAGGGAATGGCAGGGGAGAGGCAACAGAAGAGCATTTCAATTGAAAGGGAGCTACAATGACCATCTAGTCCAACTGTCTGACTACTTTCAGATTTGAACTAAATTAAAAGCATGTTTCAAAAGAAATTGTCCAAATACCTCTTAAACACTGACAGGCTTGGGGCATTGACCACCTCTTCAAGATGCCTGTTCCAATGTGTTACCAATCTCTGAGTAATGAAATGCTTCCTAATATCCCACCTAAACCTCTCCTGGTGCATCTCTAAACCATTCCCACATCACTGTGTAACATGGAGAACCTCCCTCTCCACTTCCCCTCCTCAGGAGCTGAGAAGGTTGAGGGACCTCCTCACATTTCTTTCCTCCAAGATAAATCCTCCATGGGCTTCTGGCTGTAGGGAACCTGGCATGTCCTACAATGCTGGAGCAGCCCCAAGTGTCCCAGGGCACCACAGCTCTGCCTGGCCCTGCATCCCCCTGCTTCTTTTCCCAGCCTCAAGCCTCCACTCTCAGTGGGCTCCTCTACCCTCTCCAAGTCCCTTTTCCCACCTCTGTCCTGACAATCCCATCCAAAAGGGACCATGTTCTGTTACCCAGGAAAAGAGAGGGGAAGGAATGGATTCAGACAGTCTGTGCAGGGCCACTGTGAAGTGGGCAATGCTCCCCAAAAGGGTCGTGGCAGCCAGGATGGTGACAGTGTGTCAGGGCTCACAGGTGTCACATCCTGTGGTCACAGGGAGAGCTCTGGGTTCCTGCTGAGTAGGAGGACACAGGGAAGGGAAGTGTCCTGGCTCTGCTGAGCAGCTC